CTGCAAAAGGAGGTAGTTGAGCTTCGTCACACTCTGCAGCAGTCGAAAGTTGAGTCTCAGGTCCTCCGGGATGAGCTGAGGAAATCCGGAGGCCGGTCAGCCGACGCAGCTCGTTACACGGAGGAGAAGATCCAGCTGGTGAAAGAGGTAAATAATCCTCCTCTCTTCTTCAATATGTATTTTTTTCTATTGCATACATTCTGTTTTATGATCCCTGTTTTTAATACCTCTGATTTATCTTCAGATGGAGAGACAGAAGTTGAAACTTCAGGAAGCCGAGCAGGCCCGATTTAAACTCCTCGAAAGAGCAAAGAGACACGTGAGTACTGATCAGGTTCTGTATGATGAGATTTTGTTTTCTTCAAAAAAAAAAAAAAATTAAATTTAAATAAAATAAAAAAACTTGGGCAATCTTCTTCGTCCAGAACGTTTCACAAAGTCTCATCTTGTCTCACAGCAAATCATCCATCAGACCAACATGCAGAAAAGTGAGACAGAGCTGCAGATTTTAAACAACATGATCAATAAAGTCAGAGAGGTGAGAAATATTTTCATGTTGCTTTCTTTCTTCATAATAAAGGATTTTTTTCTCCTCCGAATTTCCTTGGTTTTTTCTGTTTTACGTTCCAGATTTTCCTACTTTAAGATGTAACAATTTGTTTGAAATATGGAAAAAACACCCTAAAAATGACTAAAATAGATTTCACATGGCTTTGATTGTTTATAATTGTCATTCTGTCATTATTAATGCATGTTTAGATCATTTAAATAATAAAAAATGATTTGTGTCTTCACGCAGACGCTGCTGTCTTTACCTGAAGTCGTGAAACGTTGTGAACAACTCCAGCAGCTGCTCGAGTTCATCGGCTGATATTTCTTTAGGTTATGTTTATTTATGTTGTAGCTTCGTATAAACTTTAAAAAAATTAATAAAGACTAAAATGTTTTAAGCTTTTATGAATTGACCTTGTTGTTTGTTTGTTTTAAAAATTCTACTTAAAATCCTATTTTAAGGAGAAAGAAACCATAAAAAAGTTTGTGTTGTATTACAGTAATGATGTGAAATATTCTTCTAGGTCAGGGGTCTGCAACCTTTACAATCAACAGCCGTTTCTGCTGCTTGGCTCACTAAATAAAATGTGTCCAGAGCCGCAAAACAAGCTGCAACTGTGATTATCAACTGGTGGTCGGTGGGCCTTTTGGAGGCCTTTTCAGTAACCTTTACGGCCAGTGGAGGTGACATTATAAAATTAAACAATATATTGTGAAATGTATTATTTATTATCTTTACACATTAGGACAAATAAAAAGACCAGATTCACGTAAACAAGAAAAATACTGAATATAGTTAACTCCGAATTTCATAAAAACTAGTACAAATGGACTATTCGAGTATGTTTTTTTCTAATTCTTATGTAGTCGTAAAGGTATTTAAAGATAACCCTGGTGGATTTGAGAGAAAAGTCATTGAAAGGACTTGGATTGTTTTAGTAAACAAAAGGCTAGCATGAGCTAACATGTTTTGCTATAAGTATTAAGAAACATTAAATAACAAAAAACATTATTCTGTTATGTTTGGTCACATTTTCAAAGAGTCACTGCAGAGGGACTGAAGAGCCACATGAAGCCCCAGAGCCGCAGGTTGCACACACCTGGTCTAGGTGCTGCATTCTGAAACCATGCAGACATGTGAAGTCCTTTTTTTTATGCAGTTAGAGGCATTTTGCTTTGACTAAGACTGTAAAGCCATTTTAATTAAAGATTTTAGGTTTTAAAACAAAATGCATCTAGTTTCTGGTACTAAGATGCAGGTAGTTTTGCTCCTTGTGTAGAAAAATAAAACCATACAGCATAACCATAAATACACAAACCTAAGGGTTTTTATTTTTTTCCTCACGTTTTTCTCAGAGCTGATTCTCGGTCACTGAATTAACATTTATGTAAAAACAACAAATAATCCTTCCCTGCCGTGGGTTAGGTTTAGGGTTACCGCTGCAGATTTTAGAAGAAGCTTCAGTTATTCTGAATGTAAAGTTTTGCTCAGGATGGGATCTGAGAATCACTATAATTCATTATTGCTTGTGAATAAAAAAGCCCAAACTTATTGCCTAGGGAAAAAAAATACATCAAAATAAGTTTCTGGCAGCTGAAATCAGGCGTTTTACCAATGATGTGTTTCCCTGTGATTCTGATTCTGACAGTGGGAAGGAGGAGGAAGAGGTTTCTCCTCTTTTGTTGTCTTAGTGGGATCAAATATTGAGTTAGAAGTCTGTACGTTTTCTTGATTAGAGGATTTAAGTGTAACGCTGATGTCTTGACATGATAACAGGACGGTCACAGTGGCTGCTAATACCAGGGCTCCAGACAACACTTCAAACCAGCCCAGCTGAAACGCTGAACAACACAAGCACAGATGGTTTTTCTTTGTTTTAGGTTTTTGGGTTTTTTTTTTTTTTGCTTTGCACATGGCACTTTTTTAATTAACATGCTTTGGAACATTTCTTACAACAAAGATTTATTAACAAATGACATTTATGCTTAAAGAAAAATGAGTTTTTTCACTGTTTATTTTACAAAAAAAGCAAACTAAATGTGCATTTAAAAAAAAACCCGCAGATGAGTAAGAGTTGATGCTGTTTAAACCAGCTGCTTATTGTAACAAAAACCAACAACCACAAAGCACAATAATTTATCTAAATGTTACAAAGCTTTTTTGAATTTAGTACCGTAAACATTTAACTCACCCACTCAAGTTGTGCCGACAAAACATTTACAACCACGCACAGAAAATAAAAGTAATTTACAGAGTCATGCAGGGGCCTTTATATTTAGATCAAAACCTACAGAATGTAATTAACAGGAAGTTACCGTCAGTCCTGAAAGTGGAAAAAAAATCACAGTAGTGTCTCAAGAGGAGGTCAGTCTGTTCAGCTTTTTGTTTAAAAGTCATGAATGTAGAAAACAAAAGAAGTACCCAAAAATGTCTGGCTCAATTAGTCTCTGAAGCACAGAAGCTTGGATTGACATTTTTAGTAGCTTAGATTGCGGAAACAAAGCGCTCCATATTTCCCGGGTAGGAGGGGTGTCTCAGGTACCCACCGGTGTTGGCCACTGGACCTGCTGTGCTGTTGTACTGGGAGAAGGAGCCTAGCTGCACTGGGGACACTCTGCCGTAGTGCTCCATGCTCTCTGCAGACCCCTGAGCTGAGGCGTGGATCCGGCCGGCCACCACGTAGCCCTGGCTGTGACCCTGTCCATAGGAGCCCTGGTGGGCGTGATGGCTGCTCGGCCCAGAGTAGGTGAACCCCGGGTGTGTTGAACTGCGGGGCGGTAGGGCCCCCCCGCATGGCTGAGTCTGGAAACCCGGCGCCCCCAGACTGCAGGGATTAGATCCGTTGTGTAGACCCTCGGGGCTGAAGCTTCGGCCAGGCTGCGGCATCATCTCTGACCCTTGACCTGCCAGCATGCTGGCTGAGGTCGGGTGTCCGATGATGTTGTTGATGCTGAACATGCGGGTCTGACCGTGTCCAAACCCTGGGGGCGACGAGGAGGGGTAATAGGTGGGGGGCAGTTGCTGGCCGTAGGTCGGGCTGACGGTCATGTTGGGGTAGACCGCATTGGTGTACGCTGCCGATCTGGTAATCTGAACTGGAGAGAAAACCGGACTCTCGTGCACATATGAAGCGTACGTGCTCAAGTCACAACGCTTGAACCTCTTCCTGCGTCTCAGGAAGCTGCCGCTCTCAAACATGTCCTCCGCGTTGGGGTCCAGGGCCCAATAGTTGCCCTTCCCCGGCCGGCCAGGCTCTCGGGGGATCTTGATAAAGCAGTCATTGAGAGTCAGGTTGTGGCGAATGGAGTTCTGCCACTTCTTTGAATTGTCTCTGTAGAAGGGGAACCGCTCTGTGATGAACTTGTAGATGCCCCCCAATGTCAGCTTGCGGTCGGGGGAGTTGGCTATAGCCATGGAAATGAGGGCGATGTAGCTGTACGGCGGTTTGCCCCTCTGAAGGGGTCTCTTCCTCCTCCTGCCCCGGGGCTGCTCCTCTATCTGTGGTGAAGGGTTGGAGGAAGGAACGGCGGTGTCTGCCGGAGAGTCTTTTTCCACTTTGACTACAGGCATTGTCATAGACAATTAAAAAAAAACACCCCAAATTGACAAAATGTCAAATTAACTTAATGCCGAAGCTGCAAAAATTTAGTTCTTCCACAGATTTGGGAAAGTTCCTTGAATGTGCTGAACAAAGTTATATCCCGAAGAGAGGAAATCAAAACAAGACATCTGCCCCCATAATCTTGCCAAAAAAAGCCTTTTTTAAAATTCCTTTTCACTTTCCTTTGAATAACTCACTGTATCGAAGTCCAAATCCAGCAAATCTTCAATGCCGCTGAAATACTTTAGTCCTCAGAAAAAAAAAGTTTTATTTGTGCATGCAGTTCTTCAGTTCAGCTCTTTTTCCACGGCTTTTAGCGTCAGCCTAAGTTGAAGGATCGCGTTGGAAGAGTGCCATTTGTGGTGTTTGAGGTGTGAGAGAGAAAATGAGTCACTCTCTGTTACCTGAAGCGAGTATTACCTCAAGGGCCACACCCCCTGGAGCATCACATGCTCTCAGCATACCTCAACTTTATACAGGTCCATTGTTCACGCTTGTCAAAGTTTGACAGCTTTGTTGAATAAAAAAAATATTTAATTTATTAATGAGGCTGTGTTGCATGTATAATAACCTAAAAATGTAAGAGTCTTTGCTTTTCGAACAGGTTTAGAGAAAAAGTCTGAAATAACTTCTAGCATTGCTTTTTGGTGCTTATTCTGTTTTTTTAAACCTGCAATCATCAGTTATTCTAACAAGGCTCTTTCTTCTTAGTTTAAATTACCCCAAACTGTCTAAAACAAACATTGCTTCCTCTTTATATTCAAATGTTTCTTTAAAGCCGACCTCAGTTTATTTTAAAAATCTAAAATGGTCCACGTTGTTTGGACGTTTAGCACTAAAGCGCCTCTTTAGTGGTAACTTAACCTATGAGTTGTTTGTCTATCTCGCTTCCGTATTTGTTTTGTGCCAGTGGTTGGCCCAGCCAGCTGTGTTAAGAGATGTAAATAATTTCCAGACAAAGGCCCTCCAGTGATTTCAGCATGCAAACTAAGGGCCATCATCATAAATCCTGGATGCAACCTGAGAGACGAGGAACAGAGCCAGCGCTTGGCTCAGTTTTGTTCCGATTGGGGACGCATTTTGTTGCCGCTCTCGAGTTTATCTCTTGCTGCTGTGAAAGGTGGAGGACCGTGTATTTGGGTCAACCGTTTTGAAAGATGTTGAGCTTAATTAACATCGGGTGGTAGTAGCTGAGGGTCTTCTGCAACACATGCTCTAAGCACAAACAGATTGCATGAGAGCTTTGGTTAAAACTTTAGCTGGTAAGACTGCTGGAAAGGAATGCAAGTGTAATTGAACAAGTGGTACCAGGCCCATTTTCAGAGCTTTTTAAGCTGACTTTAAACACGTTTTTAGCTTCGACAATGGAAACCGTTCCAACAGTCTGAGCAGCCCAGGTGCTGGGAAGTCCAGAGACTCCACGAGGCCGGGGTCCACCTTTAATCTCTTAACCAAACACACTCTCCCACCGCTCAACACCAGGCCCGGTTCACTCTGCAGGCATGTGTCAGAGCCCGAGCATCGACTCAGAGGGAGCAGGTTTGCTTAGAAAAACAAGCCTGATACAAAGTTTAGTCCTGCAGGGAGGGCCGTGGATGTTAGGGTGCGGTATGTGGTGAAACGAGGAGGTTTTTTTTGGTGGTGGTGGGGTTAAAATGAGGATTTACAAACTTGTTGAATAACTCCAGTTTAAATTCCTGCCCATTCCAGGCTGAGAGGATTAAAGATGCTCTGTAAACTTGGTAATAAATCGCAGGTGAGATACGACGTGTTGACATTTTTTAGAATGAAGATGATTTTTAATCTTTCACAATCTTCATTTTTATCTTAAAATAATCCCAGTGTAATCCAGTTATAATCTCACAAATCCATCTGAGGTTTTGTTAGTGTTTAGTCAAATCTTAGCTTTAATCAAACTTTTCCTACCGTGATTGAAAACTCTTATTATTATTGCTGATATTTTATCTGTAAAAGGTTCAGTGGTTCAGTGAAGCAACAATCAAAGATAAAAGTCTAGTTTTTTTTTTGTTTTTATGCAAACAGAGGTAAAGACGGCATCTTTTTATTTTAGTTCACAAAGACTAATTGCTTGAAGTTACTGTTTGCTCAGTGTCATAATTCCCACAGCTCAGCTGACAAATAAGTGTAATTATTTTAATTTAAATCTTTGGTTGCAAGCAGTACAGTTTGTTTTCCGCCTTTTCTAAATAAATTATAATTTCCCCTAAGCTGATTTATCTCAGTCTCCAGGCAAGAATGATGGTTGTGTTTGTCTTTTGCTGTCATACTGAGAAAATAACATGTTGTTATGGTCTGAACCGTAACGGGTTTCAATATATTTTTTCCCATTTCCCATAAAGTTAGTTATATTCACAGAACAAAAATGTTCACAGAAAAAGTACCATCCACTGGGATTTTCTGTAATGTTTTATTTTTTATTTTTACTTTGGCATAAATAATAGCTTGATCTGAAGAATGAACTTATATTTAAATGCTCAAGGTTTTTTACATTTCACACAAGAACAAAGAAAATGTGGACATTTAGATTCACTATGACTTCTTTACTTTCTATAAAAAATGTGTCCTTTTAAATTGTTTTAATATTACAATAATAATTAAATTAATCGTGCGTGCACAGTTTAGATAAAGCACTTGCCTTTGGCGCTGGAAGCTACGTGTTTTCTTACAGTTCCAGAGGAGGATCATAAAGGTTTTGTGTGACTTAGGTGAAATTGTGAATAAAATACACTTTGTTTTATTGTCCTTTTGTATATGATTTTGAGAAAAGAATTACCGTATTTGGTAAAATTATTGATATTTATTCAGATTTTTAAAAATTTAGTTAAAGAAAATAAAATGCTGTATTTATTTATGTTATTTGTATTTTGTATTTCAGTTAGTGCAACTTTAGTTAAAAGCCTGGCACCTTAGGAAGAGGACACTTCTTGTTTAAAGGATGTTTGTCCGTCTGTACGAATGTGTTTTATTGTGTCTTGTGAGCTCGTGTAGGCTGGACACCTGTTTTGGTGCATGACACAAACAGAAAATAAAAACTAACTAACTAACTTACTTACCATAATATTTAATAAT